GGGGGGGGAGACAGAAGAGTGATTCAAAGATGTAAAAGAGACAGACACAAAGGTAGAAAAAAGGTGAGGTTAGTACCGTAAAAGTAGTCGAATATGACATACAGTGGGGTGATGTTGGTTTGGAGTCAGAAATCAACTGCCGGTTAATAGACTTTTTTGCCGTATGAGTATACGTTACCCAGGGTGCACCAAATGGAGGTAAGTCTATCACACACCCCCTGACAAAGATATTGTTATCGCAAGAGACTAGATTACTAATCAGTATTCTGCAACAGTTCAAGCAAACGTAAAAAAAACGCCAAAAAATTGTTATGCAAAATGAATTAAATTTATATTACTCAATGGGGAAAAAATTATTTTGAGAAATTTTTCACTTTTAAAAAAAACATTGAGAGAAGCATTCAGAGGCAGCCCTCAGCTACCTTAATACCATTATCTGCTTTCAAATCGCTTATTAAATTAACTCGTCACCTATCCACTTCCTCATAGAGTTCAATTTTGTCCTGTTTTCTTTTTCTCTAAGGTAGACGACGTATTTCCTCTTTTTTTCTCTCTTCATCCACATATTCAATCGAGATTTTCCAACAGTAGTAAACTATGGTCAGGAAGTGCAATAGTTATGCACGTTTCGTCTGTTCCACCCCGGCAAACATCTGCCTTTAAGTCCACAAAAATTTGAGTTGCTCTCGACCGACAGAAAGACGATTCTCAAAAGCTTAGAAATCTAGAAATGCATGTTTTCAACTTAGTAGTCATTAACAATCAATTTTTACTAGGTCATTCATTGAAGTTTATCCTGAAACTTTTTAAAAGCCAGTTTTTTTCATGCAAATAAGATTAGGGCTTCCGTTTTAACAATAAAGTTATCCAATATCCGTTAGGGGGAAGTGTTTTATAAACTGACGTAGCCAACTTGATTTGAGCCGAACGATCTCGAACTAGCAATTATGGACACAGCAAAGCCTCATATGGACTGATAACTGATTAACTCATTGCTCTTAGACTGGTTTGATATTAGAAAGATGGATATAGCAACCAAATGACTCCGATTTGGGGGTATAAAGTCCTTATCTTTCTACCTGATTAATAATGACACTGTTCCTTTGATCGTTTATTAAGTCAACACCTAATTCCGCGTCTCTTTTTTCCCCCACATGAACCTGAGGTAACAGAAATTTATTGCATAGCAATGCCTATAAGGTCATGTGTCGTCTAGTCATGACGGCCCCCTTTTAGTCCACTGGAGAGAAGTGGCAAATGTTGTGAGACTGTTCGATGACTCATATGTGCGCGCGCGCGGACGTTTGTTTGGGACATTTCAATGCAAAAGTGAAGCGCTCTATTCCCCGACGTAACTTCGTTGATGTATCCAATCTTATGGAAAATTTTAATGGATTTAACGTACTAGAGGGGAGTTGTGATGGCTTTAAAAACCCATGTCTAATGACATGGCACGGATTTAGAGGCTGCGCAATTCAGTAACGACATTAGTTAAGTAGAATAAATGAAAATCTTTAAAGGCGATAACAATAGTTAAGCTAAGTGCTGACAATAATCTGGAAAAAAACAAGCCTAATTAAACTGGAACGAGGCAAATATTAAAGAGTAATCTTATGGCATTTTTTACAGCAAAATGAAATGGAACATCTCACAAACTCACAGTAGTGAAGATATTCTGATGCGATCCCTGAATTTTTAAACAGGGGAAAATTCGAGTGTGTGCTCGTCTGTAAACTCAACAGGATTGCGAAAAGTCTCTTGCCTTGAAAAGTAAGCTCCAATCAAACGCTCTCAAGGAATGCATCTCTTGAGGGCAAAGAGGCCGCGGTATATCGAAATCTGGAATCCTCAAATTCACTTATTTATGTCAAATGACAGGCTTGGTGATAGTTATCATTATCTATTTAGTTGACTTCGGGCTTCACAGAAGCGAAGAACATCAAACTCACAAAAAAGTTGAGAGGGAGAACAGAAGAATGACTCACATATGTAAGAGAGACAGACAGACACAAAGGTAGAGAAAAAGGTAGGTGAGGTGAATGCTGTGAAAGTGGTCGAATATGCCGTACAGTGGGGTCATGGTAGTTTGAAGTCAGAAGTCAACTGCCGGTTAACAGACTTTTTTTGCCGTATGAGTATACATTGCCCAGGGTGCGCCATGCGGTGGTAAGTCTATCGCACACCCCAAAATATAGACCATCCAAAAGTGAAAAGTGATAGGATCGCGTGTAATTGCCTACCATCCTATTCTTCAAACCGATAGTATTACAATTTAACATGCTAGTGCCTGTATTACCATGGTTGTTCCTAAAGTGACATTTAAAACGCTACCATAACCCTTTGGAATTAAAATTCATCCTATTTCCTTACATCTTCTTTCGATTATTAAGCGTGCCTTTTATTGATTCAACCCGAAGTGATTCAAAGAAGGAAAGTAACAATTATTTATGAGCGTTATATTTGCACATCCCTTTATAACACTATCAATCCCAATGTAACAAATTTTATATTTTAACGTGATGTTTCCCCACTCTGAATAGGTTCTGATATTCTCATGAATTGCATTCAATGTTTCTTATCCTTTGACTTTTCAGGTATAATTAAGGGAAATGTGTCCGCACACTCATCTTTGTCTATAATTTATTACCAAAATAGCCTCAAAGTTCAGAACTCAATAACATGCCCCAAAATTATATAACACTACAAGCCTACAATTTGGTGCATTTTAACAAATCTGGAACTAGAATGAGAAAGTAAAAATAACGCTTTAATTAAATTTTGTTTTAATTTTTGAATTATTCAGTCTGATTAGTATTTGTATTTGTAAAGCTGCAAGCTACAGCTTGTTCAGTAATATCAAAGAATTAAAGAGTATGATGCACACAAGCATGGGCATATAGATGCGTGTACGTTTTTAAATAACGATAGAATTACATTCTGATAGCATAGCTGCAGTAGAGTGAGAGTTGCTTTGGGAAAAAAAGTTTGGAGATTTGGTCCAGAGGTATAGGAATAAGTACTTCTTTTCTCAGTACTAAGAGCATATACTGTTGATGTTTCAAACGCTATTTTAAAAGGCTTCACACTGCATTTGAAGCCAGCATTTCGACCACTTCTATCTTGTATTAGACTGAAGACAACTCAAACTGGACCGTGGAATCCCTGCAAATTATCCCCACCGTGGAACAGCGCAAGTTCATCATTTTCTTTTAGCCAAGCATAGATCAGAATATATTGGTCCTCGTCTAGTCCACCATGGGCTTCTACTAATCTCAACTATAGCGCATAGAGAGCATGAAACATTCTTGGCCACAAAATGACTTCCGATTAACTCTGTCAACTCTTCCTGTTATGGATTAGTCATTTTTGTTTCTGAAATTAGCGAGAAATCTTCTGTTAATCTATAGAGGTCTGAGGCTATCTTTTCCGGTTAATTTGCATACAGTTAGGTATAATAATTTAAACTTTTAATATTAATGCTTGAGGGTTCTATTCCTCAAAGGTGCTTAAACAAGCCATGAATTTTTAACTTTAGGAAAGCTCATTTCACCAGTCGTCTTGGCCATAAGTATATCATCTTGGAGATCTCTAATGAGAAATTAGAATTCTGTCAGATCTATTAATCAGACTTAACCGGTATGGGTGATCATTCTGCTCACTGGTTTTACACCATTAGGATCGAACCCACGATTTCTAACTTCCGATTTCGTTATCAAAGATGGTGTAGGCCCCTCGTGTTACATTCAGTTGAGAGCAAGATTGTTTTCATTATAAATAAGAAACTAATGAGATTGTTGAATCTTCAGGGAGTTTGTCTGCATCCTTATTTTAGATCAAGTTCGGTCATAGTAACCACATTTTCTTATCTTATACCCAATTGCAAATATCCATCTGGTCTCATCCTCCCATAAGAAAAAAATTAATCATACTCAGCTGCAACATCGCCTATTTCATCGTTAATTAAAATAACAGCTGCTACGAGAAATTGCAAATTAATTGAATCGTGCGTGTACGCACGAGAACGCAGCTAATTTAATTGGATACCGCCACCCAATCACCGGCCAGCTTCACACGCACGCACACACACAATTGCGTAAATTGCACTTCAACACATAATCAGCCAAATGGCGTATCTTCCTCCTCTTTTTGTGAGTTCAACACAAAAATCCAATTACCCTTATTGAATTCGACTATCCCTGTCGCCCTCTCTCTAAGACGTTTATCTAAATTAGGTTTCAGTGCCCTTATAAAAGATCAATTTAGAGAGAATGTTAGAAGGGGTTGTATTTACAAGGTAGATGAATGATGAGATAGTGTACAAGAGAGAATGAGGGAAAATTGGATTTGCCTGTCGATATCACAGCTCGATGGGATTTAAGTATGCCCAGTCAGTTTGTCCGGTTGCTTTTTCTTCCTTAGTTAGCGAAGTAGAAGTCAATTCCATCAGCAAACCTGCAATGGACAACGCGCTGTGTCAGTTTTCTAAAATAAAATAAGAAAAAAATACGCTCGATAGTGATCTAATAACTTTGTCTCTGATACTCTTGAAACGAGTCAGGTACAATTAAAGCACAAATGAAATTTAATTACTATCCTTCGAAGTCATTTGGCATTTTGTTGGATGCTTGTTTTAAACCGTCTTGTACCTAAATTTTGTCTGATTGTGACAAAATATAGCTTTATCATTACTGCAAGGACAGTCAAAATACAATGCTTCTTCTAAGGAAAACATGTAAAATTCCTCTCTGCAAATTCTCCCTTTTTCAAATGTCTTATTTTTTTACATTATTTGAAATTTGATGAAAAGCGGGAGTAGCTAAATACCCCTGGCAAAGCAAATAGAATCAAGTTGTAATCAAGAGAAAGCTTCTGAAGAACACGGAACCAAGAAAATAGACCAATTCGAAAGTAGGAATACCAAACGAGTATTACCTCATTTGATGTTGTTTTAACCAGATTAATTCATCGGGTCAGCTTTTGATCTTCCATCGCTCAAATTTCAGAATATCTCTTTTACACTCCTAAGTGAACTCATGTCAATGGATTCCAGGGTCGATACAGTTTGATGGTTGGTCACACAATGTCAGATATTGCTCGGTTGCGAATAAAAATTGTGTTATCAAAAAAGAATATGCTCCTCTTTATGCAAAGATACCCTTGAATTATCAAACGAAACTCGAGGTCACAGACTTGGTTATGAAGTCCCAGTGATGTTTTGTCTAGCCTAAGAGACCTACCAATATCAAAGTTTAAAATTCCGTATGCTTACTCCCAACTCGGAGAGCCTGTGATTATCTCATCACGAACCAATCTCAAAATATTCGCGTAATTTAGTCCTATAATTTGGACAACGACTCTCCCTCTTTCCACACTTTTGTAAAATTAATAGCTAGACGAGTGTAATTTCCCCCCATTCATCTCAACGTGGTTCCTCTTAAAGCGTTCTAATTACACGCCTCTAACTACATGATATGAATATTGCTCCCAACCTCTAATTATAGGTTGCACCTAAGTAAAAAGGCATACATTTAAGACTCCCTATCTTGGAGTGTTTTTGATACTCACGCTCTACTCTTCTTGCTTTTAGCTCTCTCTCTCTCTCTCTCATGTATCTTTAAAAGCGTGAAAGTACCATTCAATAACGATGCACACCTTTTTAGCAGTAAATATATTTGTGTTCTTAACATTGCCCAGGCCTATGTGGTAGTGAGGGATTTGAATCAGTGATTATAATATTATAATAGATTTCATTGGTTAAACGCCGCCATTTATTGTTTTAACATAGTTAGGTTTGAAGGGCATCTGTGTGCACAGCCATCGATTTGAATAACTGTTGGAGCAGGGCAAATAAAGGCTTATTATTGCGAAATAGTCGTACCTTCCTTGACAAGATTTTGGAAGGCATTTTCATTATTATTGCAAATTAAAAACAAATTCTTCGATGACATACATAGGTCTTTAACAATCAACTTTACGAACGCACTGAGTTGTTTTTAAATGAGTAACAAACTTAATTATCAATAAATGATTATCAAATGAACTCTGATTGCATTTCCCTAAAGTGAAAATCGCCAAGAAAAGCTCCTAAATTGTAGAAAGTGTCATTATGAAGGTATTTTGAGAAAAGTTAATAAAAACTCAAGCTTAGAATTCAGGTTAAAAATATGAAGGCATTAATAATCCAGTTTCTTCGACTAACCCTCTGTCTCGGAGTGACCCGTCCACTCCCTGTATTTGTCGGATTCTCCTGATTTCCACAAAACACCGGACTTCCAATTCCTCCAGGAGCAAATATGGGTGGCGTCATCACAGTGGGAGGAATTTCTGCTGAATTCACCGAAGAGGTTTGAATTCCTGTCCCTGATGATTGCTGCTGAAGTGGCGGTGGAGGTGGGGTACCCTGAAGTACTCTTCCAAATTCTTGTTCACAGAAAGGACTTCCATTGATTAGGACGTAGCGTTCACCTGGAAGGAGGGGACTGTGACAGTGGGCACAGGTGAAGCATTTGAGGTGGTAGACGGTGGAAGCGTTGCAACGCATAACCATTTCATCTGGTGCGATAGCCGTCTGACAAGCACTGCAAACTCCGGCTGATCCAAATATTCTAAAGTGAAATCAAAATTGTACTCGATTATGCCTCTCTCATTCAAAGAACAATGCTATTAAGAAGGTAATTCTTGTCTAACATCTATGCCTTAATAAAAATCACTGAAAGTACCGAAACTCCCTAAGCCCAGCTACGAACAGTGGGTGAAGAGAAAGTAATCCGTCACTCCTCATTTTGACCAAAAATTAACCAATTCAAGTAACGCTCTAACTAGCACATAAATCAACGGAGAGCATAGTTTGCGTGACCTTTGACTTAGCAGATGCGCGTGCTGTCCTCTATTGACATTAACGTAATCAATTAACTGGCAGTTGACTTCTGACTTCAAACTACCATCACCCCACTGTAGGTCATATTCCACAACTTCCACAGTACTCATCTCACCTTTACTCTACCTTTGTGTCTGTCTGTCTCTTTTACATCTGTGAATCACTCTTCTGTTCCCCCTCTCGAATTTTTCTCACTTTTATGTTCTTCCCCTCTGTGAAGCCCAAAGTCAGCTAAAGAAATAATGATAACTATTCAAAACGCCTGCCATTTGAAATGATGTCGATGATGTTAGCTATTCTGATTAATTCGAGTACCGTTTTACAGTTGAATATTTCTGACACTGTAATAAGATGCTCGAAAATATCACGAAGACTACATATCAGTATGGCGAAGTGAACACTAATATTTAAAAGGTATTTTAACAATATCTGTTCATATCCGGGAAGCGATCTTATGATATCTTCTAGGAAATAAAGGGTTGAGTATATTTCCAACAACCGAAAATGGATCAGATTATTCTTAAAGAGTCGTTAATACATCAATAAAACTTGATCAAATGGACCTTACTAATGGAAGATTTGCTTTGTTGTGTCACACTACAGGTGAATGAATTGCAACATCAAGGAAAGATTGCCAAATTTCTAAAGTTTTAACTAAGGGTCCTTTTGAAATATGCACTTTAACATCTCATTTTTGTTTACTTGCTTGCTTGCTTAACGACAAAATGAATTAATTAACCTTGAGTTCTGATTTCAAGGCTTTTTATTTCAAATGAAGAAAAGTTTTAAAGTCAACGCTGTTGAAACTAGTGAGATAGTTTTTTTTTCAAGGAATTGAAACGAAAAGAAGTGTTGAAAAAAGTATCCCCCCATTGATGAGCTTGTTAACCCACTGAGTGTACTATCTCCAATCAACCTCAATCAAGGAAGAATAAATGAGATGGAAAAGGGAGGGGGGGGGGGGGTAAGTGAGCGTATCACAGAGGGGAAATGAATATAAGGAGAAGGCAAGAAAAGGAAGAAGAAGAAGAAGAAGCAGGAACAGGGCAAGACAAGCTAATGAACAACCAATTAAGCGAAAGGAATTTGGTGGTGGGTGCTTGGGTAGTTAGCGCGCAAACTAATCATCCGAACACCCACGACACCACTTTGTCGTCAACTAATTAGTTGACAAGGCGATATGGCAATTAGTTGGATAAGATGATTATGATGAGGAAGAGCTGAGCTTAGCCCCCTACTTAATTAGAATGCGCGAATGCATCCATAAAACACAACCTTTCTCTCATTATTATCCCCACCAATTATCTCAATTAATACCCATTAATCTAACAGTGGCAGCACATCGCCAAAATTTTCTTATCCTTGTTTGAGGTAACTGCGGAGAGATGGGATTAGGCATGGCCTACGTTCGCATGTCCAGGTAGATTTCGGGGATTTGGAGGAGGAGGAGGAGGGGGAGGAGGAGAAAGGGGATTAAAAGGCCCCTTGCAATCTCACTCAGTCAGTTACTCTGCTTCGTTTTTGCTCCATCTGCTCTATCCCATCTGCTTTCTGCCTTTCGAGTGCCCTAATATCACTCCCTCTCTCTCCCTCTCTCTGTGTCTCTCTCTCTCGCTCTCTCTCTGCCTAATGCACATGCCTGACATTTATACACTTACTCTCTCTCTCTCGCTCTCTCGTTGAGAGAGCTTTTTAAGATTGCCTGGTTGGATAAGAGACATACACTTATATATATATATATATAGGTATGGATATATATGCGTATGCTCGTACTTAAGGAATACCCCTATTCCCTTACCGCTCAATGCATCGAAAGCACTAATGTGGTTTGCTTAGATCAAGCTTTGAGGGGTGCGCTCTGCTAGCGCAAACAAATGTCTTGAACTCTAGCCATCTCTAATGACGAGGCAAATGCACAGTCGTGAATTATCCGGTTTGGTAACAAGCTGGGAAGCAAATAAAATGTGAATAGAGAATAAAAAATGTATTAATAGAATCAGATTTTCGGCGAGTTTGTTTGATGTCCAATTAAATGCACATCAAGATTCCAATTTAAAGGATAGTCTGTACAATTGTCTGTCGATAACAAAGGAGAATGCCCAAAATACTTTTAAATATTTAAAGGTATAATGTGCGTTTAGTAAAGGAAAAAAAGTTTGCAGATCCATTAAAGGAGAGCTTTAATTAAACCTTGCCTGAGTAGAGGCAGGTGTCAAGGAGACACACTTATAAAAAGTTCCATTAAACTTCCCACCAAGGCGTTTGGAATAGGCCAATGATTTAGAAAAGTGCATTTTGATCACCAAGCCACCAGCATAAGCGCATGGAAAAAATATATTTATTAATTTTAAGGAATATGAAATACAGATCCTCCCATTTCTTAAGGTTCCTACAACAACAAAATGACTGAGGAAACAGTGAGTAAGGAAAGACAAAGTTATTTATTATGGTGCTTTAAGCGCCTACGATCTGTTTTTCTTTGTTAAATTAGTTCTCACGTTTCAAAATTATGTACACTTTGCCAGACAAAAGAGGGAATTGATGGAAAGAGTTAGGTAAGTGCCTCCAATAAACGGGATCCCATCAGCTATTTATACCGCTCATAATTCAAGTGTTTTTTTCAGGCTCTCAAGAGCACTCAAAATAGTCAACGAATGGAAATTAGATTTAAAATGCACAATACAAAGAATTATGATGCCAATTTTAGATTTTTCTAATAAACTACTATGCAATCAATTTTAAATGAGATTAATGGTGAACAAGCAAGAAAATATCGATTCATTTAAGGCTAATCCAAATCCAGGCCGTTAAACAATTGCATTTAGTTCTCTCGACCATGTAAATGCCCAATACAAATTATTTATCACTTAACTCGGTTTCAATGTGTATACAAAGAATATTCGACAATTTTTAGAAGAAAGGAATTGCAGCATGTGCAAACTGTCTGAATAAAGGCCGGGGTGCGCCATCGATTTTATCAACTCCTTGATTTGCCTTAGTATCTGATATTACTTAACAGAATATATGAAAAATATTGATCAAAACGAAACGAAAATGAAGTATACTCACCTGAGATAATCCTGACGGCACAGTATCATGTTTCCACGATTAAATAACGAGGTTCCCATTTCTGCAAGCCTGCCTCCACAGCAGTGACATCTCAGACATGCATTATGCCACTTCTGATCCATTGCACTGAAAATTATCCGGTCGAAAATGAGAAGACCACATCCAACGCAGGTGTTGGTGTTTCTAGAAATTTCTTGAGTCCGTATTGCACCAACTGATGGATTATTTTGGTTTTCCGAAGCTCCCATTGGCTGTTGAGCGCCTTCATCACATCTGTTGATTGGTTGTTGTGATGGATTGCAATTCTCGTTTGTAGAAGGACTGTTTCGACAGGCCTGATCTCTGGACATGCTGTGAGAGATTTGTGCATTCGTTGCTCCACTGAATAGTAGCCGACTTTAACCTTGCTAGCTATTGGCCGAGGGACACGTGCTTGAAGACGGAATTCTGATTGGCTGTATTAATCTAGAGGCACATCATTGGTGCGTGTTTTGCTGATACGCCTTAATTAAATGGCTAAAATTATGCAAATTAAAATTTAAATGTCCTAATATGACTTATTTATGGTTCATACTCCATCAGAAGCAATATAATTATCACAACCCAGGCTATATACTTTGAAATTAGTTTAATCCAAGCAGTTCAACATATATGTATATTCAACATGAAATGGACATTTAAGTTAAAATAAAAAGTAAATTAAATTTGAATTAACTTTATAATAATTATATAAATTTTTGTTTGCATTGTGAGGCAAATTAGCAAAATACTAATTATTTATATTTGTATGGAACAATATTTGTTGAAATTAATCAGAACTAAGGTGTACAATGATTCCAGAAGTAATTGGCCGCATATGTTACAACAATTAATTGTATTATAGTAGTGTTAAAGTATATATTGTGTAAACCATATCTTTTCACTTAGTGGGCAAAGAAAATCAGCATTTTTATGATTCATGTCTTAAAAAATTTCTTATGTGCAATCGTTGTGACTTATAGCAAGTTCGAAATTAGTGGCTTTGTCAGTAAAGCTATTTTAAGAACCAAGCCAAATTAGTCTAGATATAACTTTATAGAGCGAGTGATCTTCCTAAGATTGAGCCATTACATAAAATTTCCTTCAGTTAGGAAAACATTAGTTGAATTGGTAGATTTAAAACGAAGTAGAAAGGCGAAGAGGAAGAAATAGGAATTGAGGAAAAGAGGTGACGTCAGTACTGATTGAGGACATCCCGAATGGTGAGGAGGAGGAGGAGAAAATGGACACAATAAGGCGGTTTGTTTGACAATGTTTTCTTAATGAGTATTGACAATTAGAGTAAAGGTATGAGTCGGGATGCGAATGTATTGCAGACCTATTTAATGGCTTAAGGATGAGAACTCCCCCCCCCCTCCGTTGACGCTGCACACTTTTACTTTCAATAAAAGGCGTCTTCACATCAATTCATCCTGCCAATAAAAAATATGCTATTTCAATCTTTTGGCTGAATTCATGGCGCCTATCGTTGGTCTCATCTCTTTTAATTTGAGCCTCCTCTACTCGTACTCATGAAACTACAACAAAAATCCAGTGATTAGTGAGGACTCAAAATAGAATACTTAATATCGCCCCTCCCCCATTCCATTAGACCCATGTAGCAATAATTGTATTGGTCCGAGCAGCTTCGGATTATTTCTACACTTATAAGGTGGAGGGAGTACTTAATCTACTTCCCGTACGCCGAAAAAATTCAAGTCCTATTTCAATGTTTCAGACGAAATTTTCGTTATTAAATAAGACTGACAATCTGGATGGAATGCGTTAAAATGAGCAATTGAATATTTAAGAATTTTAAAACGAAAACGACAAGAAATTGGGATCAAATATTTGGATGACAGACATGCTCATCTTTTTCATTCACTTCTATGAAAACTAAGTAAATTTATCTTGAGGTGGCTATTGAATAATAAGAGATATCTTTGTGCTTCTCTACCTCTCAAGAAATGAAAATGGTCGACTGACAGCAGAAGTCATTTACGGATTAATTTGCAAACAGCAAATATTGATTTTTTTCGAGAAAACCGTAGTGATAAGTCGTACGTCTGTTATTTCAGGGTTACGATCTTCGTGCTTACCGAAGCACAAGCACTGAACGCAATCTCCGAAGAACCTTTTGCTAAGGACTTTGAAGTAACTTCTTTTGACATAAATTATTTATATTGCCACATTCCTTATTTTCAATTGTTTGTTCGCAATTTTAATGGATGACCTACTGGTTTAAACCCAACTGTATGCGGATAAGCATCTATTCAGTATTCTCGATGTGTTTATTCATCTGATGCAGGTCGAAACACTTCGGAAGAGCTCTCTTGCGCCCTCAACTTGTTTATTTAAACATGTCTATAATCCTGACTACAAGTTGCTAGGATAGAAACTAAACAGAACTCTGTATTCCCTATGTTTTACTGTGTTTATTTCGGTATCAGTGTTAGTTTTGAAACACTTAGTTAACTTTCTCATCGTAATCATCATTTCACTCTTTTTGGTTTTCAACTTTATTCCAGCGATTTCTGGTACTAAATTGGCTTTTCTCACCCAACATGTCTTTCAGCCAGTTGACTTCTGACTTCAAACCTATCATCATCCCACTATATATCGTATTCGACTACTTCCACAGTACTCACCTCAACCTTTTTTCTACCTTCTTCTACCCTCGTCTTTGAAACACTCTTCTGTTCCTCCCCCCCCCCACACGATTTTCTTTCACTTTGATGTTCCTCTTCCCCCTGTGAAGCCTGAAGTCAACTAAAGGGGCTAATGATAACCATCAAAACCCCTGCTATTTGATATAAATAAATATAAGTTGAAACCAGTAAAACCTTCAATGGCGTATCCTGTGGAACAACTACTAGCTTGAAACGCGATATTTGTAAACCACTTCTTCTGAAGTGATTGACTTAAATGAGAATATGAGCGAGCAACGATCAGTTTCATAAATAGATTACGGCTATAGTTGGAAAAATTTTCTTAACGGGAAAGGTGAAATAAGTTAAAGAAAGTTATTTTATTATGTTCTGTTTATCATAAAAAGTCTTTTTTTTTAAATTAATCTAGAAATATTTGTCCACGAACGAGATTATGAATAGGAAGATAAGGGGTGTCTGGAATAAATACTACGTGAAAAAAAGTTAAATGCTTTCTTCCAGATTTATAGAAGGTATTCACGTATACCAGACTTTCCTTACAACTTTATACCCATCTTTATTCAGTAAGATCATAACAACGAGATTGGAATCCATTTGAATTATCACAGAAGAGAATGAATTCTATCCTAACGACGCATATCTGTCAGCAAAATTAGAAGAATATAATCGCTGTGAAATTAAACCAGCATATAATGGAGAATTGCAATGGCGTTTAATGAGCTGCTATGGCTTGCAGGAAGCAACATTACATGGGGTCTGATCTGATTACCCTCGTAGAGCATATTTTCGATGTAGGGCAGAATTGGAGTACTCCAACATCGGAATTGCAACTACATCTAAATGAAAATATCGGCCTCCACCATAAAGTTTGTACTCGAAAAATGCCTTCACTACTCCAAGCTCATACAAGCTTTGCACTGGTCAACTTCTCACAAAAACTAAAAAATGGCCTGACAAAGGTGGAAAATATTGGAATTAAGTGATATATCCCGTTGAAGCATAAAATGAGTACTTTTCCCATGAAAGAAACTTTTGTCAAGATGAATTCAATACAAGAAGAATAAGACTTGGCTTGGCTTATTTACGGACCAAAGACTCTTTCTCGGACCACAGAGAAAATATTTCTCTAATCCGTCATTTTGTTCCTATGTATCCACCTCCACAATCGAAGAGGATGAGATGTAATGGTTCCTTCCGGATTTCTTAAAATGAGGCTAAAGTTGGATTTAGACGTCCACGTTGAATTATTGAGAACTGTGGTAGTTAAGGCCTTGGTAACAAAGGGTGCACGATGGCAACAGGATTCGTACTATGCTACATCTCAAGGAAATATCAAAGTGATGGTCAACCAATGTACGTTTGACACCGAACTAACATATTTTAATACGAATCGCCGCCACAGGGCGTCAAAGCCTATCAGTTAATGGGCAGAAGAAGTTTTATGAGACCCAGGGGGAATTTCGGCTTCAATGGCCAACAGTGATGGATGGAATTTCTAATAGGTTCTTTTGAGTAGAACTCTTTCACTATAGTGTACTTTCCATTAAATTATATTAAAGCTTGACGTTATAAACCACGTTTTTCCTCGATAAGACTGTCAAAGTTTTCCCAACCTCACTGTACAAACACAAATACAATCAACTTCTATGTCAATTTAGGCGTCTAATCCCATTTAAAGCCACTTGGAGTGCCTTACCAAATTGGGTTAGTTGTCTCTCCCCTACCCCCCCCCCCTTCCCTCCTTAGAACTAATGATCTTCGTAAGCCTATCAGGTTTTAGAAACCTTTTGCAGGTAAGTGGACGAGGAATTAGGTCGAAAAACGTACATTGGGCGATTGCAAATGAACGGGGGGGGGGAAGAGAGAGGTAAGGATGAAGAAGTGGAGAGGGGAAATGGAGTGAACGAGAAATTTTTACTCAGATTGTGACACGCTGCCAAAGAGTATTCAATAAAGTGGTTGACCAATTTTTTTTGTTTCCTTTTTCTTGATGCGAAATTGACACTCAGAGCCTATGGGAGCTAAATATAGAGATATTGAGCAGACCTATAAGTCAAGGTGCTTTGGTCCCTCCCAGTCGTACACGAAGTCGATTGGTTTGACTACCAGATATGACAAGTGGTAATAGTAACCGGAGGCCAAATATGCGCTCAGCAATAATAAATTACTTCAAGAACCTACATGAATATTATAATTTAACCCTGTTTAGTGTAAAAGCATATTGTTACATTGGATTTCGTTCCCATCCCAAGGTAAACAACATTTGATTTTGAGATAAATAAAATGAAAAAGTTATAGTTTCTAATAAAAAAAGGTTGCAGAGTAATGCCCCCCCCCACACTCTCCCATTTACAATTTGCCATACTTGAAATTAGCTAATGATTGACATACCTTGGGAGAGAGTTCCATTACTTACAATTATTCCAACCAATCACTGTCAACATTTTGTCAACGTTAATTGTCTATTCTCGTAGATGTCTTCCGTATTAGTCACAAAATTAAGTCCTCAGGATGGAACTTTAATCAATTTGAGTTTGGTGAATAGTTTACTAATTTCCTTATTGTCGAACTTTGGCCAGTATTTTGAAATGTTGCATAAAATTCCATAGAGTTATATCAGAATTACACCTCGAAGCATATTTTAGTTATTTCGAAAGAAACCA